ATTATTCCTAGTGAATTGATTCAATTCATGATGCATAGCATGAATACAAAACTCATCTGTTTGAGCCTCATCATCTAACGGTTCTCTTTTTTAGACAATAAAGTTTAATGATCAATTTAATTGGAATGGAGATTTCTAATCCTAATCTCCTGAGATGGACTCCTATAATAACTTCTTTTGGAAGTATTGATGCTTCATATATTTTCGTTAGTTCAATATACTACAATAATCATTTCTAGGTTCTTCCAAATTACATTTATATTCTAGTGAGATCTTCCACTTTAAAATATCGTCAAAATTAGATTTTAGTGAGTTTGTTACTTGAATCAATTCCTCTATGGTGATGGCTCTCTTTTTGAATATTCTATTAGCCTTGCTATATCTAGAACAATCCAAAAAGATTCCTTCAATTTTATATCCAGGTTACCTAAATAATCTTTCCCACTTTCAAACTAAAGCATTTGCAACCAAATAAGTTAAAAAGAGATATACCAGGTTACTTTTCTTACCAAATTTTGTAAGGATATTATTATAAACCATATATGCACTTAGCTTATCATTTAACAGGTTGTGTCAATTGCTTTTGCATAGAAATATTTGAGTAGATTATATTTACTAATTATTGACCTAGTAATATTTTAAAAGTGTTATTCTTATATTTTATTAAGTTGTTTTGCTGCGGTGTTTTAGGGGCTGAAAACTATGTCTAATCTTTGATCATCAAAAAATGGTTCAAATTTATCATATACAAATTCTCCTCTATAATCGCTCTTAATGTCAGTAAAGCGTCAAGCATTTCTTTCGTTGTACAATCTAGTAAACTTAACAATTTTGTTAAGGCATCACTCTTGTTGGCTAAAACATAACTCCAATGTAACTAGCGAAGTAGTTTTCAATAGCATAACCATACTGTTTACCTTTTAGGCAAGCCAGGCTAATCAATTCAAACAAGTCGTTATGCAAGAGCTCAAGTGTCCATATCAATATGTGGTGGCAAAGTTCTTAGTGAAAAGATCTAAGTTATTTATCTAATTGTTATGCATCGCATAAATAATTAATAGCAAAGTCAAGTTTTGGTAAGCCAATTCAAGTTATGGATGATACATTTGGAGAGTATTTATATGTTGGCATGACATTGCCTTCTATGTCATAAGCGGGGGTTATCACATCTTTATTTTAAGCACTAAAGTTACTACTATTGACACTATCAATATCATGTAAATTCACATTATCAGGAATGTGTCTTGCACAATGAACTCATTCAATTTTATCAGTGTGAGGATGGAAATGTTGCACTAGATTTTTTTTCCTAAAATTTGGTATATTTTAAATCATCAACCAATAGTATCTTTTCAATTGCAGTAGAATCCTTTTTGATAGTGTTAATAATGATTATTTTTTGCTAGTTTGTCTCTTAAAGATATATAACTACCATCCATTGATTCCAACATTCTGGATTTAGAGGTCTTCGGGCATATGCCTCGAATAATAACTTTTTAAGTACCATATGCCTCTTCCTTATACTTTTTGAGATCATACATGTCTTAACTTGTCTTATTGTGAAGGCATACCTACCCAAAAAATGATTTAATCCCTTTGTTTGGGAACCTACAGAACATTGGGTCTACTTGACTTGTGGCTAGATAAACAATTTGTGAATGATTTAAATTCTCGATGAGTGCTTGTGCATATGAAGTCTTACAAGTCCATACATGAGTTGAAAAGTTATTTACTAATCCACCTTAACGATCTGTAGAAATGTGATTATATACTTACCAAAAGCAACACACTGCAAATTAGTGCTTCTGCATTAACATTTGTACTGATGTATTAGTGTTATTGCCATGTTGGTGTTGATGTTGATAGTGTGTGCGTTATTCATGCACCTTATTTTTTTGTGATGTATGCTGTGTTGTTTATATTTAGTAGTCTATACGGGTCATCGATCTTAGCTTTCATGATCAAATTATTTCTAAGCAATTTATAATACAAAGTAATTTATGCAATAAAGACTTATTTTCAGACTTCACATAATTATGTTCATTTTACATTTAATTGAGATTTCTATATAGGTTTGCATGCTATTTCTTCATAATAATATACTTCATTAAATTTGTAAAAACTTAATTTAATTTGAATGAAGCATGACTCAAGTCATTGTACTTAAAAAAGTTTATATATTTATTTGTTGTCGTTCTTTTTAAAATCTTTGAAAGCCAAGGGGAATTAGTTTGCATCATCATGTTCAGATTCATATGTTCTCTTGTCTTTGCTATCCGAGTCCAACTAAGTAACTTTGAGAGCTTTCTTTTCCTTATTTTTGGAACAATGTTCCTTGTTTTTTCCTAATGGGCACTCTCATTGAAAATGACCCTACTTTTTACGGATAAAACATGTTTGAGATTTGTCTTCTTTGTTATTCTCACGTGCATAAAGAACCCTTGATTTTTCTTAAGAAAACTTAAAATGGTTTTTCTTACCTCTACATATATGATGATTTCTCTCATCATAATCTAGGTTCATTGAGGCTGCGGTGCAATGTCTTTTGTTTCAGTCACATATTTTGGAATCTCACTGTCATGGAATAGAGCTTGAGTGTAATATCCTGTTTTTTGTTGTTGATATCTTTGCTTCCTTAGAAGGGAACTTCTGCTCATGTTCTACTAAGGAGCCATATCATTAATCGATAGTATAAGTAGATAAAATCAAGAGCTTTGGAAATTACAGTTAGCTTGTGGTTAACCAAATTCATCTCATGATTTTATCTTCCACAGGTAAGAAAAATAGAAATAATTAAATAAATATTGGTTATCGTTATAAAATTTTGTATAACATCTCATAATAGTTACTATTTCTAGTAAATTCTATTTGAGGATGCTTGCATTATATATATATATATATATTTGCAAATTCCTGCATTAGTTAATTTGTGCTTTTTTAACATCATTGGTTCCTTTGTATGTTACCACAAGCTTATCTTATATCTATTTACCTGTTCTCAGCTTCAACTCTTTCATTAAATCCGCACATTTTAATACATGGTAAAGAGCATTTACATATTTTCCACTTTAGTTCTAACTCGATTAGTGTACAATCAATGATTTTGGGAACAATTTGATCATCAACGGTGCTGATTGGCTTCTTATAATAGACTTTCAAGATAAGGTCCTAGATTTAGTAGGCCTTGTGAAAAACTTTTGATAGATGTAAATAAAAAGGGAATAAGTAATGAAATTATACATCAAATAGTGATAGAAATAGGTGATGATTAAGCTTTGTGCAGGAAATAAAATGCTGAAATAATAATCAAGCGGCATCACTTTTTATATGGTTATGCTCTCAATAGCCTATGTCTGTGCCTAGGGTTTGTTTGTATTAGAATTCCTATGCTCTACTCAATCACTCCTTTGCTACTTGTAGGCAGAGAAACTCTTACAAACTTTCAAGGGGAGTGTACTTTCACTTTTGTTGTGGGTAAGGGTAACATCTCTAAACCGTTTCCAATAGACTTAGCAAGAAGATTTACATGGGAAAAACAAAAAGAAAATTATAATTATAAATTGCATCATCTTAATTCTATGCATGGACGTGTCAATTGAAAAACACCAAGTTGTGGCTTTGAATGATTGAACCTAGAGACCTCAAACTCTTCTTTGATTTCACAATGATCTTAAAAGTGATGCAAACTTAAAACTAGTTGAAATGTTCTTATATTTACAAAACACTGTTATAATACTCTCAATTTTTATTTAAAATTAGATAGGTTATATTAAAATGAAAATAATTAACTCTCACTACGTCTAATTTGAGAGTCGCATAATATTTTTTTGTTATCGATTAGAAATAAGGAGTCATCACTGAGCCAATAAATGCTTAGAAGACACTTAGTAAAGGCCAAGCAACTATCTAATAAATAGTTTTGTAGTTCAAAAACTTCAGTGCATTTAAAATGCAGCCATAGGAATTTGCTACAAGCTATTAACTTGAGTTGATAAACTTAATGTTGGCCGATAAATTTACTGGCTATTTTAACTACTAATAATTTTGTGGCTATTACTTATGCACAGTGATAGCCTTTCGATGACCCGGTTAGGAGAGTAGATGCATTAGATTTGACCTATGTTAAGAAAGATAGAAGTAGATTTAAAAAGACTTTAGTAGAAAGTATTATAAATGACATTTTTTTTATTAGATTTAAATGAGAATTTGACTCTTAATACGACACGATGGAAAAAAAAAAAGATTTATGCAACTAACCCCATGTAATGAAATAAAGGCTTGATGATGTTTTTATTTATGCATAATAAAAATGTCAGTTTAAAATATGCTTTGGCTTATTATAATTTCTTTTTGGCTGTATAAAAATACTTCTTTGATAATAGGTATTTTTATCATTTTATAAGCTTGAGTTAGGTCGTTTCAAAACCAAATTTCTGCCTCTTATTTATGAAGATATAAAGAAAAGAAAATAAAATGTGCCCTAATTGTAAGCTTTTATTTTATGTTCAACCTAGATGAGGTTTTGTGAAAATGCATTGCGCATGACGTTAGGTTTATGGCAAAGAATTGGATGTTAACTAAATTCCTGATGCAGATATCAATTTTTAAAATTTTTGTTCGCTGTTTGAGTATAGGCGCTGGTGCTATTCCATATGATTAGCAATGATTCTTTCATTTCTCCTTCTCATTTATTGTAGCCATCAAAATTCATGCGACCTACTTCTTAGTCAAAAATTATTTTTCGTAATCATATAATCATAAATGCTACGTCTATCGTTGTTATGTTCTGATCTGTTTCAACATCTAGCTGGCTGTTTTCTTAGATGTCAGTCAGGTAACAATTAGAGATTCAATTGACATTTGGTAAGATGCCAGTGAAAGAACCTATGCAATTTATTAATATGACAAGACACCCAAAATGATAGCTATACCTTTAAACTTCTGTTATCTTAACAATTGGTGCACTCCATCACTTAACTATGGTAAAAAATTTGTTGCAGTTGTGGTCATATGTGCTGCTGCACAAACTGCTCTTCGCATTTGACCAATTGCCCACTTTGCCGGAGAAGGATTGAACAAGCTGTGAAGACCTTCCGTCATTAATATCACTGTAAGAATATAATAATAAGAGCTGTTATGCATTCTGTTTGTGTGCTTTGGGAGTTGAAAATCAAATTTGTTTGACAACTACCGATGGCATTGGTGAGAATGCAGTTGACTGAGGCGGATATATTTTGTTATGACTCTGTTTGAAATGCTGAAACAGGTGTTCTGTTCTAATTTAGATTTCCCTTAGCTGTAAGCCATATAAGTATCCTCGTTGCAATGCTGAAGGCTTCCGGTTGCCACCATGTACAGTTGTACAATTGTGAATCTTGTGCAAAGGCTTATTATGAGTATTTTTCTTTGCTTTGTTGAGTTTGCAGAGGATAATGTACAAACTTGAAGTTTTATAAATTGTTCAGAAAACCTACTTCAAAAAAAAAAAGAGGCAAACTTTACTTGGTCTTGTTAATTTGTTTAGATCAAATTGGAATTTCGAGTAAAATATAGGTATACTGGGTATATATGATATGTGCTTCCAGTGTTTATTCACTTCGAAGAGCGGTCAAAATTTAATCTCATCTTCTGATCCTATTTCGTGTTGGAACTAAATATAATCTAATAATATTATCCATATAAATTCCAGCTAGTTTGTCTAGTTTTATTCGTTTGTCTACCAACCCATATGGCTTCATTTCTTTATCTTAATTTCGGAAAACCTACAATTCTGTTAAATTTTCGTACAATGGATACTTCTTTGGCATATGAAGCTATACCATAGAAGCATGCACACAACGAAAAATAAATTTGTTCTTCTAATTAATTATGTAAGAATTTTCATAAATTAGATCATGTTTGTGATGCTTGCATTCTTAATAAACACTAGAATATCCTTTAACAATAAGAGCATAATAACTATTATACTTATAATTATTAGTCATGAATTTATCTGGACCAATGACTATAACTAGATTAAGAGGGGAAAAATATATGAATTTATTAACGATACATTTGAATGATTTTTTTTGCTAGTAAGAATGATGCATTTGAAGACTTTAAGAAATTTGCTAAACATATTCAAGAAAATAATGATATTATATATGTAAGATTCAAACATATCAAAGAGGATAATTAGAAAATAAATAATTTGAAGACTATTATGATGAATATGATATCAGACATCTTTTCTACTCTTAAAATAAGAGAACTATATAAATGAAAATAATACTATCATATAATTAGCAATATCTACATTGAATTAGTATAAACCATTAATGTTTTTTTTTTAAAACATAAATGTGTTGAGTAGAATTTAGTATGTGATTAATTGGACCAATATTATATAATATACCATATGAGCTATTTCGATGAAAGAAGCCTAAAATTGGTCATGTACAAGTTTTTAATGCAAATATTATGGTCATAATAATGGAAAGGAACATAAAAGGAAGTTTGGTAGTAAATTCAGTGGAGTTTTTCTTGGCTATTCAAATTCTAGTAAAGGTTAGAGTTTTCAACCAGAGAAAGATGATTATAGAGTTTACATTTGATAAAAATTAGTTGATCCAATTAAAAATGACATTGAATAAGAAACTGTATGAAGAATTAAAGAAATTAATTTGGAAGATAAAAGAGATGACTCCTTAATTAAGTAATAAAAATATGTTAAGAGTCATCCCATAAAGTTGATTATAGATGATCTATTCAATGAATTAGAATTAGAAGTCACTAATAGCAAGGAGGTGGACCAATCAAATTTTATTTTCTACATACAGTTAAAGAATATTTATGATGCTTTGAATGATGGATTATAGATTGTGGCAATGAAATGAGCGCTAAATTAAATTCATTATGATGATGTTTGACAGCCATAAAGTATTGGAAAATGGGTTTTTAGGAATAAGCTAAACAACATAGGATATATTATTAGAAATATGGCTGTAGCAAGACTAGAAATCATTAGGCTTTTGCTTGGTATAAGAACTTTAAATTATTTTAAATGGATATCCAAAGCGTGCTCCATAATGCGTATATAGTATAACAAGATTTATGTAGAGCAACTCCTATATGGATATTTAGAACCAATCTAGGAATCTGGTTATCCCCAACCCTGTTTTCACCCTCTCTCTCAATAGGCTACATATCACATCCCTCCGATGGCCAACACACTATAATAAAATTAACAAATATCGAAAAAAAAATTCGTCAATACTTCAAAGAGTGAATGAAATGCCAACCAATTTTTAATGTCCTACACTATCGGAGTATAGAATCCTAGGTTATGGAATACAACATAAATTATTTTAAAGTTCATTTGGCTTTTGCTTGATATAAGAACTTTAAATTATTTTAAATGGATATTCAGAGCGTGTTCCATAATGGTATATAGTATAACAAGATTTATGTAGAGCAACTCCCATATGGATATTTAGAACTAATCTAGGAATCTGGTTATCAACCTTGTTTCCACTCTCTCTCTCTAAATAGGCTACATATCACATTTGTCTGATGGCCAACACACTGTAGGAAAATTAGCAAATATCGAAAAAAATCGTCAATACTTCAAATAGTGAATGAAATGCCAACCATTTTTCAATGTCCAACGCTATCAGAGTATATAATCCTAGGTTATGGAATACAACATAAATTATTTTAAAGTTCATTTGGCTTTTGCTTGGTATAAGAACTTTAAATGGATATCCAAAGTGTGTTCCATAATGGGTATATAGTATAACAAGATTTATGCAGAGCAACTCTCATGTGAATATCCATAACCAATCTAGGAATCTGGTTATCCCCAACCCTGTTTTCGCCCTTTCTCTCTCAACAGGCTACATACCATATCCCTACGATGGCCAACACACTATAGGAAAATTAGCAAATATATATAAAAAAGTTAATAGTTCAAAGAGTGAATGAAATGCCAACCATTTTTCAATGTCCTACGCTATCGGAGTATAGAATCCTAGGTTATAGAATACAACATTAAAGGACAAACAAAGCACTTTTCAGACATTGCTCTATTGGAGTACCAATCTAATTAAACACAATATGTATGTCATGCAGAGAAGAATGTGTTTGAGAATGTTTTTAACACGACCATGGATGGTAAAGGTAAATCCAAAGATAATTTGAAGGAAAGAATGGATATCAAAGAATACTATAGGAGAAAAAAATTAGAGCAAAGAGAATGTACCAATGGAAAAAAATATTGAAGTTGAAAGCTCCTTTTCCACTCACATTAGACCAGAGAAGATCAATGTGTTAGTGGTTCCAAACATTAAAATTACTTGATGGGTATTCATCTGATATAAGTCGATTTGTCAACTTTATATCCAAGAGGCTTTTCAAAATGATGTCATGATTGCCACATCATCTTGTAGTTTCTTCTTCCAACTACTTTTAGATTATTGCTTGATCATATTTTTAATCCTTTAGTAAAAATTAAAAAAAAAATCTTTAGAGATTTATGTTCAACTAAATTAAATGAGATGACTTTGCAAATTAGTGAAAATAACATACCGTTAATTCTTTGCAAACTCGAGAAATTATTTCCTCAAGCCTTTTTCATCTCTATAAAACATTTGCCCATTCATTTACAATATGAGGCATAAGTTGGTGGGCCTGCACAATATTGTTGGATGTATCCATTTAAAAGGTCTGTCGACCTTTAACTTTTATGTTACTATTAACTACATATTTTTTTAATAATATGTTCTTTTGTCATTAATCTAACAGATACTTGAACAAGGTAAAAGGAGCATGTAAGAACAAGGCATGTCCAAAAGGATCAATATCTTAGTGATTTGGGGATCAAGACAACGACATTATATGTGCTACTTAGCTACCTAGAAGTTCAACTTTTCTTATAGTAAGTCTTTATTCCTTTTGTGCAATTAGGTAGTCCTTAGTAACAAATAATGATTATAATTTTTTCACATAATGTTTATATTTTTTTTTATGACAACAAATAAAGAAATAATTAAGAGACTTATAGTAGAAGAGTTTGCACCTTGGTTTATAACCTACGTAACTATAACTATTTGGGGTTTTATAATAATCGATTTGATCAAACCACTAAAATCCTCTCTTAATTGTCGTAGGTTCATAGTACTAGCAAAGAAGTGCTAGATAAATGATTGTATGCAATTACATGGGGACCAATGAGAATAGTTAAAACTTAAGCCAATTTACCTTCTCAATGGTTATATATTTCATGTTGTCATGGCGCGAAGGAAGAAAAACTATAAATTATGGCATTCGTGTTAGAGGGAATTCTCATGATAAAAGATAAGTTGATTATTATGATGTTTTACATGAAGTTAATTAATAGTAATATGTAGGGGAGGATGAAAACCACATTATCCCATTCATCTATGAGTGGTATGTTCCCATTCCAAATAGAAGCATAAGAGTGCAACCTTCATATGGTATAACAAAAGTAAGGCTGAATAGGAAATATGTTAAAAGTTTGATGATCTCTTTGTCCTTGCAAAACTAAGCAAGTCTAGTTTATTTTGCTAGTTATCAGGTTGGACTCAGACATAAACAAGATTGGCAAGTTGTAATAAAAACTAAACCTCGAGGCACAATTGAGAAATAGTATGGTATATAACCTGCATATTGAGAAGATGAAATTTTACTTTTAGGAGCCACATTAGTGACTTCACAGAGGAAACAATCCCTATACAAGAGAATGCATTTGAAGAAGCTATTAGTTCAAGTAACGAATTTAGTTCAAAAGAGACATCAGATGAGGATACAATAGAAAGTAGTGATAGTTCTTCTGAAAATATAGTTTTAATATAAGGTTATAAATTTTTTTTTAGTGTTTCAATATAACATGTTTAGATTATGATATTGAAGGTTCAAAATTTTTATTTATTATGTTTAGCATTTTCCCATAGCATGTTTTTCTTTCTTGTACAAGTTGTTTAGCATATTTATGCAACATATTTTTTTATTTAATTATTTTCACTTTTTATTTCAAATAGCCTCAGGTGATGAGACTTCATGCAAGTATATCAATTCTATTTTTTCTCACCCTAAGAAGTTGAAAATTGGCCCACATGCATAAGGACATTATAGCAGGGCCAGACAATTCCACCACCTATCGATACTACTGGATAGAGGATAAAGCAGATGTAATAAACATTAGCTGACATATTAATGCAAAAATATGAGATGCAGGTGGAGTTAGGATCATATAGGAAATAATGAAAGAAGAAAGTTCAGGATCCTGACGAAAGTGAAGAGACTAGAGATGATTAGGTGTCCAACTTTATAATATATAATGAACTCAAAGTCACATTTGACGAACAATTCAAGAACATGTTATATTTTATTTGAAACATATTTTTCATTAATGAATGTTCTTTGAACATTATTTTTATTTTTTTATTAAAAATTTATCTTTTAGATTGCAAAG